AAGACCAGCTGGCTGGCACATGCATGCCTGTTTTTTGGCCATTTTTGGCTGGGTTTTTGGCCGTTTTCAGGCTGTTTTTTGGCCATTTTCAGGCTGGGTTTTTTGGCCATTTTCAGGCTGTTTTTCAGCTGTTTTCAGGCTGTTTTTGGCCTGAAAATGGCCAAAAAATGGCCTGGAAAATGGCCCGAAAAACGGCCTGTTTTGGGCCATTTTTGGGCTGTCTTCAAGCCTTTTTTGGGCTGTTTTTTGGGCCATTTTCAGGCCATTTTTTGGGCCATTCAGAAAACAGCTAGAAAATGTCCTAGAAAGTGGCCGGAAAAACGTCCCAAAAAAGGCCCAAAAAACTGCCTGTTTTGGGGCATTTTGGGGGCATTTTCAGGCTGCTTTCCAGCGTTCTGCACCCGCGAAGACCAGCTGGCCAGCGCACATGCACGCCAAAAACCAGAAGAGCAGCTGGTGAAGGCACGCATGCCCACAGAGAGGGCTCTGTGTACCACCTCTGGCACGCATGCCATAGGTTCACCATCATGATCCTATACCATTACAGACAAATAGCTGTCTAATCTTTTCTTAAGAACCCCTACAGATGAAGCACAGAATGAATTTCTACAAACCTCTTATTCATGGGTTCTTTGAATTTCCTGTCGAGCAGATGTAATATGAAGGATTTATTGGGCTGGAAGAAGGCAGGAAAAAATCTCTAAAACAAGGGATGCACAACATTTGATGGGGAGGGAGTGGAAGTTACATTTGGCCTCTTTGTGTTATGCCAGAGATACATTTTCAGAAAGCCAGGGACAAAAACCCTCACTTAAATTAAATTCAATGAATAAATGATTAAATATATTAATTAAATTTTTTGTTTAATTTAAATTTGAAATAATTAAATTAATGAAAATTCAAATTGAAATTACATTTGAGCAATGATGGTGCAGTGGTTAGAATGTAGTATTGCAGGCTAACTCACTGCTCACAGCCCAAAGTTCGACCCTGACCGGCTCAAGATTGATTCAGCTTTCCATCCTTCTGAGGTTGGTAAAATGAGGGCCTAGATTGTTGGGGGCAATAGGCTGACATTCGTAAACCACTCAGAGAGTTCTGTAAAGCACTATGGAGTGGGATATAAGTGCTATTGCTACTGTCTATGATTATTACAATTTATTTTATGATGTGAGTTGATGCCATCTTACACTTTAACCATTGGTCCCTTTTGACATGTTAAATCTTATCATTGAGCAGGAAAGATATTGATCAAATTAAGCTATGGAATTTATTAGAAGATATGATAAGATACGAGAATACAGGTAGTCCTCTACTTACAACTGTAAAGGAGCCTGCCCATTACATTGTAAAGTGGGTGACCTATATGGCCAACCTGATCTTTTTGCTGCAGTCATTGCGCAAACCAGTGGTGAGATTCAAGTAATTTAACAACCAGTTCTCTGCCCTAATAATTTCTTCCAGCAACCAGTTCACCAAACTGCTCAGAAAGTTAACAACCGGTTCTCCTGAAATGGTGCGAACCGGCTGAATCCCACCACTGATGCAAACCCATTGTTCGCTATGCTGAAAACTGGAAGTAAACATTTTTGGCAAAAACATCACAAATTGCATCCATCAACCACAGGGCACTGCAAATGGCCATAAATGCAGGCTGTTTTGCCAAGCACCCAAAATGAGGTCATGTGACCATGGGAGGGGATGACCATTGGAACCTCAGAACTGGGTCGTAAGGACCTTTTGGGGATCCGTCAAAACTTTGAGCCTTCGTAAGTTGAGGACTACCTGCAAACAGTATCTTGAATCGTTTTAAAGACGAACTATAAACCTGGATGGAGAACTATCAGCCTTTAAGGTTCAATGTTCCCACAGTTTTGGGGCAGCCAGTCTCCAAATCCCAGTTGCTGAGGAACAACTGCAGGAGACAGATATGGCTCAATCTCCTGCTCATAAAACACCCAAGAGGCATCTGATTGGCTACTGTGAGAAAACAGATAAGAGACTAAGATGAGACTTGGCCTGAGGTAAAAATATTTTAAAAACAAAGATACCCGTCCTCCAGTGGAGGGATTCAATTTTTTTTACTACCGATTCTGTGGGCGTGGCATGGCTTGGTGGGCGTGGTTTGGTGAGTGTGGTTTGGTGGGCAAGGCAGGGGAAGGATACTGCAAAATCTCCATTCCCACCCCAATCCAGGGGAAGGATACTGTAAAGTCTCCATTCCCACCCCACTCCAGGGGAAGGATACTGTAAAACAGTGGTGAAATCCAAATTTTTTTACTACCGGTTCTGTGGGCATGGCTTGGTGGGCATGGCAGGGGAAGGATACTGCAAAAATCTCCATTTCCACCCCACTCTGGGGCCAGCCAGAGGTGGTATTTGCCGGTTCTCTGAACTGCTCAAAATTTTTGCTACTGGTCCTCCAGAACCTGTCAGAACCTGCTGGATTTCACCCTTGCTGTAAAATCTCCATTCCCTCCTGACTCCAGGGGAAGGTTATTGCAAAATCTCCATTTCCTCCCGATCAGCTGGGACTCAGGAGGCAGAGAATAGATGGGGGCGGGGCCAGTCAGAGGTGGTATTTCCCAGTTCTCCGAACTACTCAAAATTTCTACTACTGGTTCTCCAGAACTGGTCAGAACCTACTGAAACCCACCTCTGCCCTCCTCCCTACAACTTCCAGTCCTGTCCAAACCCTAAGCTAAGACTGCACCTATAGGCTTATTTCTTTACACACTGCAAGCTTGGGAAGAGGAAAATAGCATTTTTATTTTTTTGCCTCTTTTCTTGCAAATTTGTCCATTGGCTAATTTTCTCACATGTTGGGATGAAGGAGGAGAACAGCAGGTAAAGGCAATCCCTCAGGAGCCAGTGTGATGCAGCAATAGTTACAAAGTAGTTCCACACCAAGGTAGGAAGGGAAGAAATATTATAAGAAATAGTATAAGACGCTCCGTACTATAAGACGCATCTACCTTTTTTGGGGAGGAAAACAAGAAAAAAAAATCTGCCTCTGCCTTTGCCTCCCAACAATTTGCCTCTTTGCAGCAAACAGCAGCCTGTTTCAGTTTCAGTTTCAGCACAGCCTAGTTAGCACAAGGGAAAAAAATCTGCCTCTGCCTCCCAGCAATTTGTCTCCTTGCAGCAAACAGCAAACAGCAGAGGCCGAAAATGGGGTGCGCGGAGGAGGCAATCTCTGCAGCCTGAAACAGCTGATGGTCGGGAGGCCAATCCAACCAACAATCAGCTGTTTGTGTCAATCAGGCTGTGCTGAAGCTGAAACTGAAATGGGCTGTTTGCTGTTTGCTGCAAGGAGGCAAATTGCTGGGAGGCAGAGGCCAAAGAGTAGGGGCCGGTGGGTGGGTGGGGTTACATTAGGTGTATAAGACGCACCCAAATTTTCACCCTCTTTTGGGGGGGGGAAGTGCATCTTATACTCTGAAAAATACGGTAATTGCCCTGCCCACCAGCTATGGGTCTGAAGGATCATCTTGATGCCTTATATTTGTCAAGGGACCTCAAAGGCAGCCAGAGATTCTCGCATGAAACAGCTATGGATGAGCAAACTCTTGAGATCCATTGCTCAAAAGTGCAAAGAAGAGCAACTAAGATGATTACGGGCCTGGAGACAAAAACAGATAAAGAACGGTTGTAGGAACGGAGTATGACCAGTCCAGAGAAAAGAAGGACTAGAGGCTACATGACAGCAGTATTCCAGTATTTGAGGGGCTGCCATAAAGAAGAGGGAGTCAAGCTATTCTCCAAAGCACCAGAAGGCAAGACAAGAAACCATGGATGGCAACTAATCCAGGAGAGAAGCAACCTGGAATTAAGGAGAAACTTAACCATGAGGACAATTAGCCAGCAGAACAGTTGCCTTTAGAAATTGTAGGTGCATAGCCTACAATTTGCATAATCCCAGATGAAAAATGATAGTTCTGAAAAAAGATAATTGGGGACTAATTGTTATTTTACAGTAGGGCTGGAACACAATATTTCATAAAGGCTGTGAGGCAGCTTTTTGAATCGGGACACCTTGGACTACAATTCCCACCATTCCCGGAAATGGGTTGTGCTAGATCAAGGGTGGGGAACGATGGCCCTTTTATGTCTTGTGGACTTCAACTCCCAGAATTCTTGGAGTTGAAGTTCACAAGTTGTAAAGGGGCCATCATTCCCTACCTCTGTTCTAGATGGTGAAGTAGCCACTGTGGTCCACTATTTAACAGAATGACAGAGTTGGGAGGGCTCTTGGAGGTCTTCTACCAGGTTGGAGAATGTTCCACCTCCATCCACCACAAGTGAAGAGTAAGTCAATTTGTGCCCAATCAATGAATGCCACAAATCAATACATCAATAAATGAATGAAGTCAGTCGATGCCACGAATGTTTGTTTCAGTGCTTCTCACCATTTAATCATACTGGCTTCCTTCACGTTTTTATTTATAAAACATACTCACATTTGTCATGATTCATACTCATGATCCTTGTTGCATAAACAAAAAGCTGTCATGGCAAGGCAGGATTCGGTCCATTAGGAACGTCTTTTCATTCAAAGGCTACTCAAATCCATTACGGTATATCTGGCATATTTCTCCACCCATTTTCTAATACAATTCATCCTGATTTACAGCCAACCTCATTGTTTGCCATGATACACAAACCAACATTGGTAAGAGCCCGTTCTTTGTCATGTGTTGCTCACGAAATTCGCCAGCCTTCTTTCAATTAATTACCAAAGCAAACATATCTAAAAATAATAATGTAACTTGTCAGGAAGCAGATCGCTAATGCCATGCATTTCCCAGATCTGCCCCCACCCCTGCATTCCATTTTGCACATAATATGACTTAGGTCAAGTGAGCCACACCTTCCCTTCCAAACAAGATATTATAGCTTCAAAATGACATTTATGAGTTCGAAATAAGCCCTTTTTCAAGTCTTTCGGAAGCTATAAAAGGGAGATGGATGTTTTCAGTGGATTAGACATTCAACTCAAGCCACAATGGGTAGAATGCAAAGGCACTTCCTGGTTGCACTGTGGATTATGCTTGCTCTGAATACGCATGTGAGGACACAAGGTAAGATTTTTCATGTTTTGTGGATCCATTTCCAGACTGTATTCAAATAGGATGGGTCAAGTGGAATTTGGGAATCATTTGTAGATCAGTTTTGGATGCCATGGAAAATAACTTGAAGGACTACAGGAGAAGTAGTTAGATCATACTATAACTGGGAAGGGGGAAATATAAAGCTGAATATTGTTCTGCTTTCATATAACTGCTTCTAGCATGATTTCTCTTGATACAAATATAGGCAGCCCTCTCTTGACAACCACATTTGAGGCTGGCAATGCCATTGCTAAGCAACATGGCCATTAAGCGAGACAACATGGGACTGTGGTGAATTTACATCACTTCCTCGTGGTAGTTAAATGCGTGACCTCTGCTTGTTAAGCAAGACATCCCATGACTACAACTTATGGCTTCTCTGTTGACTCTGCTTGTCAAAAGCTAGTCGTGAAGTGCACCAATTGTGATCATGAATACCTGCCAGTTGGGAATCTCAATTATGTAACTGCTGGGATGCAGCGATAGTTATAAGTGTGAGGCTAATTCTGCTGACTGCCAGGAGTTCAATTCTGACCCTCTCAAGGTTGACTCAGTCTTCCAACCTTCCAAGGTCGGTTGCCCAGATTGTTGGGGGCAAAATGCTGACTATGTAAACTGCTTAGAGAGGGCAGTAAAGTACTGTGAAGCAGTATATAAGTCTAAATGCTACTGCTATTGTAACTTTTTTTATTGCCATTGCAACTCTGAATGCTTAATAGAATAGTTGTTAAACAAAGACCACCTGCACTAATTTGGCAGTTCTGGAAAGATTCAACTTCTATCAGAAAAGATCAGACCATAGTACATTGCCTTTTAATGTATATATACTGGTCAAAAAAATAAAGGGAACACAAGCAGAAGACATCCGAGATCTGAATGAATGAAATAGCCTTATTAAATACTTTGTTCTTTACATACAGTAGTTTATACACTGCTCAAATAATTAAAGGGAACACAAAACTACTGTATGTAACGAACAAAGTATTTAATAAGGCTATTTCATTCATTCAGATCTCGGATGTCTTCTGCTTGTGTTCCCTTTATTTTTTTGAGCAGTGTATATATCATTTTTATTATTTTTTTCTTAATATAAAATGAAAATAAAAGTAAAGACAATGGGAAAAATAGATAAAGGAAAAGGAGCGATGTGAGGGGAAAGCAAAGCAAAGCAGTGACTTCCAACTTTTTTCGATGCAGTAAATTACATAGTAAATTTATAATCTCAACTTTTTACTTCTGTATAGTTTATGAATACTAGCGATTTCTATAATACTGTGTTTCCCTGAAAATAAGACCCTGTCTTATATTTTTTTGAACCCTGAAATAAGTGCTTGGCCTTATTGCCATGTGTTCAAAAGCCCAATTGGGTTTATTATCTTATTTTGGGGAAAACAGGGTAGCAACCTATTTTAATCAGCAAAACCCAAAGTTTCATTTTCCCCCCCATCTCTTTTAATCAGGACGTCCAGAAACAGTTTCCAAGTGGAAGCAAAGCTAGCTACAGTCTTTTTCCCCTAATTAAAATAGTTAATTTTGCCATCTCTGCCAGTTCCATCATGTTTTTTTCTATCCATTCGTCTATTGTGAAGTTGACACATTTTTATAAAGTTCTCACTGTGGTCAGCATATATAGTAACAAAGTTGCAACTTTTTTTTTCAAGATCTTTATCAAATAATCTTAAAAAAAACATTTCTGATTTCATTGTATGTTTGTTTGAGGATCATCTAGATTAAAAGATAAATCTGGGCCCAGTCTTTCTTTACTTTTATCTTTGATTTTTTAAAAAAAATCCTTCTTTACATTTGCACTTCCAATAGACACTTGAAATGTCTTTATATATCTTTGACAATTTATCAAGTATTAAATACCAATGATACATCATTTTATAAAAATCCACATATTTACACGTGTTTTAATGTTTGAATTAAATCCACATATTTTAATGTTTTAACTTTCCACGTCCAATGTTTTAACGTTTTTAAGCTTTTGTTTTATACTGGTATTTATGAGATTGTAATCTGCTCAGTGTCGCTTGATAATGAGATGGGCAAACTATAAATTTAATAAATAAAAATATTTTCCCGTTGCTCAAGCATTATATTACAACTAGTTTTTTTGCTCATTGAATCATACAATATTTAATATATATTGATTTTCCAGATTCAACTTCAGCAACCTTTTACAAACCTTGGCTACAAGGTTTATTAGCACACAATAGAGTTTCAAATTCATTTTTAACAGATTCAAAATCATGACTTTTCTCATTTAAATTAAATCTTTCTTTCCGTTGTAAGTATGAAAGCCAGTGACAAACCTTCTGACTCCAAACCTTCTTTTGGCTTGAGATTAGGTTCACCTTGAGTAAAAGCTATTATTTAACCGTAAATCCATCAATGTGGTTTACTGTCATTTCCTTTCTAAAGCCTTCTGGGGTGACACCCAAAGAAGTATTTTAGAAGGCAGTCTTGTTTTATACCATATTTGTTCCAAATTATTAAGATGGCATGTGACTCTTAAAGTCTGCATTCATTTTAATCTTATCATACCATAAATAGGTATGCCATCCAAATCTCAGTTCATGGCCCTCCGAATTTTTATAGTCACCCATTCTTTCATCTAGAATTAAACTCACCCTTCCTCTTTTTTAAGTATCGTACAACAATTTATAGTTAATTCCTTGTCCCCCCCCCCTTGCCATATAATGTCATCAAGGTTTGGAGTCTTTTATTTTGGAACCTGGCATATAAATTTAGAAATATCCTTTTGTTATGGTTTGAATGCAAGAGAAGTCAACAATATCAGTAGTATCTAAAATAAAAACAACATTTTTTGGTAAAACATTCATTCTGGTTATAAAAATCCTATCCAAAAAAGATAATTGCAATTCATCCCATGCCTCCAAGAATCAACCAACATTCAGTTGTCCAACAAAGGCTTTCAGGTATTTTGCCTTGAGAGGATTTTACCCCTTTAATTGATCTTCTATCAAAAGCTAGAGAGATTGCTCCATTTTGATTATCCAATAGACACCAATTTTCATATGAAAGGTGTGACACCTGAACAGTTAAGTATTTAAAGAATTTCACTTCAAGTTCATTTGGTACATAAATTTCAACTAGTATTGCTTTTATCCCATTCAGCTCCAATTCTATTGCTACAAACCTATCATATTAATCTGATATTAATAATTTAGATTTGAGCTATGGTTTTGCATGTAATACAACTCCATTTATCTTTTTTAGGCTGAGCTGAAATGAATTCTTCTCCTAGTCTTTTATTACTCACATATTTCTGTCCTTCATTTTAAAATGTAAGCTAATTATATTTGTATTTAATTTCCTCAAATAATGGAATATCATCTTCCATTTTGATGGGGCATTGGCCCCATTAATATTCCATGTTAAATATTTTTATTCCATTTTTATGAAAATTGTGTTGTCAAAGTGTCATGCTGTTTGCTCCTTCAGTCTCTTCTTGTTTTTCTCAGTCAGGTAGCTGAATTTGATCTGATTTATTTTCTGTTTCCATCATTTCTTGTATCCCATCCAAAGTCAGTGTTTGAGCAAAAAGTCATTCACTTTTTCTATAGAATTTACTGTGAACCTTCATTCTTGGTACATGAGGATCGTCCCCTTCAATTTATCCCAACAGAATGGGATCTTTCTCTTTTTCAGAATGTCTGTCAAGAAGGTATATGCTTTTCTTTTCCTCAAGATTCTGACAGGAATTTCTTTTAAAGTATTATATTCCCATTGTCAATCTTCAGTTTGATATTAAAATGGCAGTGCAGGATTTGTCTCTTGTTTGTTTCCTTAAAAAATTGATTAGCACACCGCTCAAGATTATTCTAATTGTGAGATAATGGGAGTTTATTCTATATAGTTTGTCCACTTCCAAGTCCATTTTTTTCCCCTCACAACTTTTTAATTACACCAAAGCTTGAATCGTCTTTCTCCTTTGTCTTTCCCAACAGCCACAGGGATGGCTTGGAACCTTAGATGTAATTCTTTCTTGTGTAGTTCCATCAAGGCAATATTGTTTAGATCACCTTTGTATTATATGTCCCTGTTGTCCATTGTGTTCTAAAAAGTCCACTTTATCATTTACCAGTTTGACATCTCCTGCAATTTTTTTTTTTTATTGAAAAGGTTTTCAAATACAAATTTTTCCCCCTTTTTCCCCCCCCTCCCCCCCTCCCTAACCCCCCCTCCCCACCCTTCCCCCCCTGTGACTTCTTCGTAACAAAAAAAAACCCTAATTCATAACAGATTACTTACTCCCTCCTCAAAATACTGACCTTTACTTACTAAAAGTATTATAAATCCCCCTTTATCCATACATTTCAGAAAAGAAGAAGAGAAAAAAAACAAAAAAAAAACAAACACATTATACTATAACTATTATAAAATAACTTCTAATTTAGCATAATAGTGTTTTATATCTATACATTATTGCAACAATTCAAAACCACCTTCCACTTTAAAACTATACGATAAGTCCTACTTTAATAACATTTCAAAGCGGGCTCCCCATAAAATCTAATTTAACATTTATTCCACTCTATCCATTTCCTCCACTCCCCTAAATGTATCACTTAAAAATCCCTTTTCTTAAACTAATCAGTCTGTAGCTAGCTTATTCACCCACTGTCTTACAAATTTACCATACACAACAATTCTTGATATCTTTAATTCACTGCCCACACTACTTAAATATATATATATATATATATTCCATTATATCTAAATAAAAAAAGAAAAGACAATAACTTTAAATTTATAGTCCATATAATATCTTCTTGAAGTCTTTCCACTGGATTGTTAAAACCAACATCCATAATAGGGTAACATAGCTTGCTGATGCAACAGTTTATTCAAGATCTCCAATCATATCTGCCCCCATCAGTAGTAAACATCTTCTTATATATATAAAAGTAAAAACAACCACCCGAGTGACGTTATAATTATATTCCATATAATAATAATTGTGGGTTTCATCAGGATTATTAATTTCCATCATCGTATTGGGTAACAACCCGATCTTCTGCATGTCCCAATGTGATTCTCTTGCCTTATAATTCAAGATAATTATAATATATTTATCAACACAAAAAGAAGTTTCAAAGTAGATAATTCAAAACCATCAATTTGAGGCTCTTTCCATGTCCCAAAATTACGGCAATGCAGAGATCTGCCACTATCCTCAGGATGATATTGACCAATATGTCGCCTCCTCTATGTTTTCACATAATCATTCATATTTTAAAATCACTGGCTTCACTGTTGCTTGGGTTAGAAATTTCTATTTTTGTACAACCTATTTCTTTTTTTGTTTTCTTTTTGTGGGTTTGACTTCCATCCTAATTTTTTGTGTCTCGCATTTCTTTTTTATCCCTTGTATATCCTCTAATTGGTTTCCATGCTTGTCCTTGCCTTGATAAGTCATCACATTAAAATCAGATGGCACTTCTCTCAAATTTGTAGATAATCCAGCTGGGGTATCCGATAAATCCAAAGGCAATTTATCTGGTACAGTCTCTGTCTTTAGTTCCAGCTCCTTCTGCTTATCCTGTATTATATCTGAAGACGTTAAATTCATTTTCAACCTATTTTGATAAAATTCTTCCGCTCTTTCAACAGTATTTAACTGGTATCTTTCTCCTTGATATCTCAATATAATACCAACTGGGACGTCCCACCGGAATTGAATATTTCTCCTTTTTAACTCAGACACCAGAAAGCCAAATTTCTTCCTTTCCATTAATATCTTAGGTGGGAGTTCCTTGTAAATCCAAATCTTTCTTCCATACAATTGCAAATTAGAATTGAAGGAATTTTGCACAATTTTATTCCTAATTTCTTTATCTGAAAAATAGATTACCACATCTCTAGGCAATTGCCTTTGCTTGGCAGTCCAGGAGTTTATTCGATAAGCTCTGTCAATCCTACAAAACACTTCCTCAGGTTGAATCTTTAAAATCCCAGCTAGAAATTCAGAAGATATTTTCCTTAAGTCATCTCTGTTATTTTCCTGCAAACCTCTAAGTCTTATTGCATATTCTGTGAAATTATATTGTATCTTTAGAACCTCTTTTTCAATCCTCTGTTGCAGATTTTCTACATTACCAGACTTTTGGTCAGCATCCATTTTAAATTTTTCTTCTGAACTATAATCCTGAATATTTAACAAATCATTTTCAATTTTTTGAATTCTATTATCCAATTTATCTTGAATTTCATCCATTTTTGACTCTAGTAAATTAGTATTTGTATCCAACCGAATCATGAATTCTGACACTTTTAAAATTTTTTGCTGCAAAAAGTCAAACTTGGATTTCACCAATTCCTTAGTTTCCTGCTTAAATTTTTCAAGTTGCTGATTCACAATCTCATCCCTTCTTTCAATCTCCTCTAAGAGAAATTCTATTATATTAAAATCAGGTTTCTGGGACTGAAGAGTTAAAACTTGTTCCTTTAAATTCTTAGTGGGGGAATCCCCCCCACCTATTTGTTTGTCTGACTTCACAAGCCTCAGTGCCATGTTTTCGCCTAAGCAGGCTTTGTTAGAAGAAAAAAAAAAAAAAAAAACAAGACAAAAGACTTCCAGCCAGCAACAATGCCTCCAGGGGAAAAAGAGAAAAACAAAAACAGGAGCGGAGTTTTGTCTACAAATGTAGCCAGTGATATTTATTCCGCTACATTGTAATAATAAAAAACGGAAGAACTTTCCCTCTCAAACTCTTCTCCAGCCGCGGCAGACGCCATTTTAAAAAGAAACTTTTTTCCTCTTTCTCTTCCTCTATTCTCTTAAGTAATTTTTAAAAGATAAGTAAAATACTTGCGCTTCAGTATTACAGGTCCAGCTCACATTTTCTTTGAGTAATCTGTCAAATTCGCAGGCTTGCTTTTGACGCCTGGCTCTGCATTAGCAGAGGTCTCCCAAAGCCCGGAGCAGCGGCTGGGGATATGGGGCATCTCATCCGCTCCATCCCAAAAGTAAAAGAAAAACTTTTGGGACTCTGCAGAGAGTTCTACCCACCCCTGCCGGCTCTATCTCCGTTTCCTCATGGGAACGGAGTTTTTTCGAGCCGCCGTTCCGTTGTGAAGGCGGCTCTGACAGGCAGTGGAAGCTGACGATCCCAAAGGAACGTCTGGCGGCGGCCAGCAGCAAACAGGAAGTCGACATCTCCTGCAATTTGATGCATCTCCTCATGGAGTACCTTACCTAGGGTATATTTCCCACTTTTGTCTTTATAGCTTGAATTGTTTTGGCTAAATAGTATTCCAACATAGCTCTCATGCAGTGCAATTAGAAGTTTCCAAACAAAAAAAGAATTGGTTGGTCAGGAATTAACATCTAACGAACTATTGCCTTGCTGTGTACAATTGATTTAAATATTGTGGTAACTACAAGAGGAAACTATGGTAAAAACTAATCTGCTAAATTGGTTGTTTGAATCAGATTTGACCTTTAGCACGAGAGGGAAACAAAGACTACAGTACTGAATTTAGTGTTAGGAAATATACCTTTTGCTTGGATTCATTATTTTACCACATGAGGGAGCCAAAAACCCTTGGTTTTTGGTATTGTTTTATAAAAAATATTAATTTTTAGGATACTTGTTAAATAGTCATTATAGAAATGACTACAAGATGTAAGCTGGTAAATAATTGGAACAGGAGATTCTCTCACAAAGTCACAATATATAAATCCAAAGAGATAAGCAAAAATTTTAAGAAGAAAACAAGTTCACAAAAAATGTTTAAAGCCACAAGTTTCCTATAAATTTGAAAAGGAAGAGAAAAAAACAACCAACTTTCTTTGCTGGCATGACTCTCCTCTCCTCACTCCCCTCTCCTCCTATTTTAATGAAGCTTCAAAATAATGCAGTTCAACAAAAGGAAAAAAAAGTAATGGCAGCCCCCCAAAAGCCTGTTTTACAACTCCAAGATAAGTAGGCAATTTAAGAACTAGCAGGGAAACTTTATTGTCCTATTTAAGTAAAGAAACAGCTGATTTTTCCAAGGGAACATGGAATACTTGTCCCACCTCCTAGCTGAACTCACCTGGAAGCTTCTTAGCACTTTGCACAAGCTACAGCTATCCGGAGGATCCAGGGGGTTGATTTGCCAGACTTTCCCTATTTCAGAAAAGTTCCTTGGTTTAAAAAAAAAAAAAAGGAAAATAGCTCAGCCCCAAAAAACCTGGATCTCCAAGTTTTGCTGAAACTGGTGCTCAAATGGCCATGTCTACCAAAAGTCCCAATAATGAAGCCATCTCAAAGAAGATATTTTGCAATAGCAGTAGCAATAGCACTTAGATTTATATACCACTTCACAATGCTTTACAGCCCTCTCTAAGCGGTTTACAGAGTCAGCATACTGTCCCCAACAATTTGGGTCCTCATTTTATCCACCTCAGAAGGATGGAAGACTGAGTCAACCTTGATCCTGGTGAGATTTGAACTGGCAAATTGCAGGCAGCCGGCAGTCAGTAGAAGTAGCCTGCAGTACTGCACTCTAACCACTGTGCCACTGGGGCTCAATAGCCATGGCTCAATAGTCAATAGAATACAGTTTTAAGACCATGGCAGTCTTTTATATGTTGCAGGCACACACACACACACACACACACACACACACACACGTACAGAAATAGTGTTGAAGGTATGTATCCACATGCAGAAATCTGATTGTTTTAGGAACAGTAATAACTTTTATGAATATTAACACAAGAGTGATTTTACACGGTATCAGATTCTTCCTCTTGTTTGGCTCTTGATCCAACATAGTCCAGAATCAGTTTCCTTTATTTTAATGATTATATTGGGAACCAGAGAGAATGCAAACTCTGTAGAGTCTCTTGTAACACTGCTTTATCCCAAGCACCAATGGGAAGAAGAATCTCCAGTCAAGCTGCAGAAAGGAACAAAACTCCCAGATATGAGGGCTCCCTTTACTGTATTGGAATGGGACAACTCACCACAGCCAACTCAATGTGGCCAACTTGCCATGACCAACTCAATGTGGCCAACTTGCCACAACCAACTCACCATGGCCAACTTGCCGTGGCCAATTCACCATGGTCAACTCACCACAAGATAACTTCCCATAGCCATCTCGCCTCAATACAGGACAATTCAGCAGCCACAAAAGTTAAATTAATTTCGATGGAACCATGGCCAATAATAATAAAATAAAGTCAATCCAGAAAAAACAAAGAGTTATAATAATTTCAATGAAAAATATGGTCACCAATAATAAAAGTAACTGAATGAAATGATTAATGCACCGTTGAATCGTCCTGTTAGTTGTGGTGAGTTGGCCATGATGAGTTGGCCGCAGAAAGTTGTCTTAGACCACGGGTGTCAAACTCGATTACGTCACATGACATATTATGACATTTTTTTTGCCTTTGTGGAGACAGGGTGGGTGTGGCCTGCATGTGATGCCCATTTTGGCCCAGTTTGACAGGCCTGTCTTAGACCCTTACCACAGGGGTGAAATGCTCCCGGTTTGGACCAGATTGCCTGCTCTGGTAGCGATGGCAGCAGGTGGTTCGGAGAACCGGTAGCAAAAATCCCTGCCCCCCCCCCCCGCCCATGCCCAGCTGAACCGTGCAATCATCAGAGGCTTTTTTTCCCCTTTTAAAAGCATTTTTTCTACAACCTCTTCACGCACGGCCCCGCTGCGAACCGGTAGTAAAGATAAATAGAACCCACCCCTGTTCTGCACCATGAAATCACTATTGACTCTTAGTGACCAGATACGTAGATTTTTATCCGTGATAGTCTGCTTCTCATTCTTCATGTCTGCTAATGATGCCCTATTATTGCTATAATTTTTCAACCTCTTTCTAAAGAGATAGTAATTTCCTCCCCAGAAACCTCATCTGCATCACCTGATACCACAGAAACTTCACCCCCAGAAACCTCAGAGACGTCATCTACAGAGTCCTCTTCCAGTCCTCTTCCAACCACCTCAGAGACTCTATCTTCTGAAAGCCCATCAAGTGCACCTTCAGAGGCTCCATCAAGTGCTCCAACATCAACCTCAGGGACTCAATCTTCTGAAAGTCCATCAAGTGTACCTTCAGAGGCCCCTTCAAGTGCCTCTACATCAACCGCAGGGACTGTACCTCCAGATCCCTCTACTACTCTTCCTCCAAAAACCTCCAAGAAACCTTCTTCTGAGAGCTCTTCAACTCCTCCTCCATCAACCTCTGAGCCTGCATCTCCAAAATCTACTTCGGCAACAGGTAAGAACGCTGTAGCTTCTTTTACTATTACTTCTTTTTTACACAATTCAAATTACGGAAAGGGGACCGTGTCTGAGAAAACATCCCTTTTATGAACAGACTACGGCAAGATGGGTAGCAAACAAATGTAATAAAGAAATAAATTGCAGATTCTCTTGGCATTCTAATATCCTGCCTTGTTTGGTATTCAGTCTGATGTTATTGGCAGTGCCCATAGTATGAATATAGTTATCCTGATGATCAGGTTTTTTCAAAATGTTTAGCCAACACTTATTTAAAATCTTTATCTCGGAGAAGATTACGTTCAAGCACAGCGATGTCTCCTGGAAAAAGGCATTGCTAAGCAATTGATTAAAAAACATTTTAAAATGGATTGCATTATAAATACATAGTATTTGAATTCTATCTTTTCTATTTTGAAGGAAGCAAAAGCTTTAACTCATCAACATCTTCATTTATTGTTCCACCTTCCTAATGCTCCTATTGCTTATCAATCACTTTTTGAAGCAATAGTATCACATATTGTTTTAAAAACTTCCTTTGCCATTCCATTGGCAACCTTCAGTCTCAAAAGACTACGGTATCGTGCTCTAGAAAGAGTTCCTAAAACAACATCTGGTGTGACTAAAAAGGCCAATTCGAGAGTGGCAATCCCTTCCACACTGAGGGCAGATACATTCTGTCCCCTGCCCAACCCCAGATGGTTCCGGGACTGCCTCTTTGCCTCAGCCTGCCGAACAAATGTCTCTTCGAATTGGAGAAGGCCATGCTGCGTCTTTAGCCTCCTAGCTGAACGATCGGAGGTCAAGGTTTCCCAGGTGTTAATGTCCATTCCCAGGGCCTTTAGGTCCCTCTTGCAGATATCCTTATTTCCAGGGGTGGGTTCTAAATTTTTTACTACCGGTTCTGTGGGCGTGGCTTATTTTGTGGGTGTGGCTTGGAGGTCATGTGACTAGGTGGGCGTGGCTAGATGGTCAGTGTCATTTCTGGAAGGTCCTCGCACTTACGACCAGTCCTCGCACTTACGACCCAACTCATTTGTTTGCTTTTAATACTGATCAGCTGTAGGATGGCCCTTTGAAACCCCGCAGCAAGAGTTTAAACAGTTTTTTTCCCTCTAGTCATCAGCTGGGACTCAGGAGGCAGCAATAGATTGGGGGTGGGACCAAATAAAAGGTAAGAATAATGTGGGGGGTGGGGGTGGGAGGGCGGGGGGGGGAGAATTCGTTCGGTGACGTCATATCGTCACCGCTACTGGCTCGGCCGAACCGGACCGAACCAGGAGGAACCCACCACTGCTTATATCACAGCTGTGGTCTCCCTCTGAGGCGCTTTCCCTGCACTAATTCTCCATACAGGAGATCTTTCGGAATCCGACCATCAGCCATTCTCACAACATGCCCAAGTTTTAAAAACTAGACTAAGTTAAAATGCTACAATAGAAAAAGAGAAGTAATCCATCACTCTCAATCCATGACACTTCCAAAATCGTATCTCTGGAATCTACATTCATTTTCTGATGGTAGGGTTGTGCTATTTTTTTCCCCCCTCCACTTGATTTTTGTGTCACACTCCACAAAGTAACAATGAAAAACAAAATCTTGATTTTGTTTACCTTTACATTCATATAAGACACCGTGCTAGAAACCAGGACTCGGTGAGTTCTAGTCCTGCATGAAAGCCAGCTGAGTGACTTTGGGCCAGTCACTCTTTCTCAGTCCAACACCACTCGTGTTGGTGTTGTGGGGAAAATTGGAGGCGGAAGGAACATTAAATATTTTCGCCCCCTTGAGTTATTTGTAACAATAATAAAGTCAGCATAATAATAAATAAGAGTTCAAATTTGCTTTTTAATGCACCGTATCAGTGACCGTATGTGGTTCCTGGTCACCACACCTGCCTCTGTAACTTTTTCAATAGTTTTTTTTTCCCTGAAGATATTGTCAAAGGTTGCTTAAAACAGTGGTCTCCAACCTTTGTGGCTTGGGAGCCTGGCTTTGGGGAGGGGGAGAGGGGGGAGGGAGAACCAGGCCCTGTGAGCAACTACATGCATGCACATGTGTGCCGGCCCACCACTCACGTGGCCCAGTTGCAAATAGGGCACAGCCTGGTAGCCCATGATCCAGGGGGTGGGGATAGCTAGTGTTCTGCCCCAGCTATGGACCCCAAAGAACGCAGCACACACAAAATCTATACAAAGCTTATTTTACTCAAATAACTCAGTCTTTTTCAACCAAAGGCTGTTAATAAACTGTCTTAACAGCCTACAAGAATTCTAAGATAAGGTAATCACAGTCTTACTAGGGTTGGCAGAAAGCCCAGAAGCAATTTTGCAGAGAATCCAGATGAGAAGGAGAGTGAACTAAAGTTGTTCCCTACAGCTTGCTGCAATCGGCGTTCCTCCTTAAATAGGCTAAGGGAGTGGCCAATTAGCCCCAAGCCTTACTCTCGAGGAGACCTCCTCCTGAGGAACCACTCCTGCCTTTTGGCAGCTCTGCGCGCCCGTGCATTGAGAAGAGGCTCCTCCTCTTTGTCCTCTTCACTTAAAGGAGCTTCTGGAGGTTCTGAAGGCCCTGGCTGAATCCGTGCCTCTGGCACCACATCTTCTCCAGCCTCCTCACTGTCTGACTCAGTGAAATCCAGCAGGTTCTGACAGAGCAGTTCGGAGAACCAGGAAATACCACCTCTGGCTGGCTCCAGTGGGGTGGAAATGGAGATTTTGCAATATCCTTCCCCTAGGAGTGGGGAGGGAATGGGGATTTTACAGTATCCTTCCCCTGGAGTAGGGTGGGAATGGAGATTTTGCAGTATCCTTCTCCTGCCACGCCCACCAAGCCACACCCACAGAACCGGTAGTATAAAAAATTGGATTTCACCACTGGTGCTCACCCATCACTTCTGTGGCCCGGTTTCTAACAGGCTGTGTCCTGGCACTGCGCCACAGACTAGGGGTTGAAGATCCCTGCACTAAATGACTCAAAACCAGCCCTTGTTCTATTGTACTATCGCTTTCTCTTAAATTTCATCTCTTCAGGAACAAATATATTTTCTGTTGCCATCTTGTGTCAAAAATTCCAGTATAAAAATTCTGCAAAAAACCCCCCCTTATTTATAAAGCTTAGTAAACAGGCACCAGTAACCTCGGAGATATTTCTTTCTATGACAAGTAAGTGAGATGAATGCAAAACACAGTAAATAACTTCAGGATTTCTTTATTCAAAACAGCTGCTACTACCTCTCTGGAAATTTCTCGGACTGAACCCACAACTGTCATGATGACTAGCAGAACAATTTTATCCACAATGAATCCATCTTCTCAAACCATCACCTCAGGCACATCCACTAAGACATCAGAAAAAGTGACAACTAGAGCTGAGAATCCAACCTCAGCTCTGTCTCCTGTAGCTACTAATATCAAAACCACAAATGTCAAAGCCACAGTCACTCCTGCCTTGGTCACCACTTCCAAAACCACGGTGACCCCTAAAAAAGAGACAACTTCTACAAGTAGCACCTCCATCATAACCAGAAGTACAGTGCTTTCCAGCACTATGGTTTCTTCTGAAACAACTCAGCAAAACACTACGACAAGTGGTAAGTTTATCTGACTTCATTCAGACCTAGCAATTGAGTTACACAAGTCACAGGAATGTCCATCTATCTCAACAAAATCCACAGCCATATCCAGGCTAGCCAGTTTGTTGTCTTTTCCCAGGTGTGAGAATAGTCTAAGCCTAGGACACAATAAATGACATTGTTTACATTAGAAGGTGCAAGTATCAGTAGAAACAGTGGGTTCAGAAACTTTTTAGAGAGCCAAAACTTAGATATCACAAGGAAGAGCCCCAGGTTCTTATTACATTCCAGCTATACATTCCAGGAGTGGGCTGCTGAGGGTTCGAAGGGGTTCGGGAGAACCTCTAGCTATGATTCTGGGCAGTTTGGAGAACCCCCAAATCCCACTCCTGGCTGACCCTGCCCACTCCGCCCTGCCCCTCCCAGGAGTCCCCACACAGCCTGTTTTGGATGCAGGTAAATGCAGGGTGTGCACGGAGGCTCAGGGAGGGTGAAAAATGGGCCTACCGGAAGTTCAGGAAGGCAGGCCTCCAGAGGGCTTCCAGAGCCTGGGGAGGCCATTTTCGCCCTCCTGGAGGCTCGAGGAAAGCCTCTGGAACCCAGGGAGGGAAAAAAATGCCCCCCCCTGCCGTGGTGCAGGAGGCAGACCAGGCCACGCCCACCATGGCCACGCCCACCCAGCAACCGGGCAGAGAACCCTTTGCTAAAATTTTTGAAGCTCACCTCTTCATAAAGGACATGTTATAATTTACATTGACCTTTGTAATTCTTGTGTATTGTTTCAGGGGGTATGTAACCTGTAAACTGGTGGCTTCAGGGCTCTTTTGATAAGGAGCAACATGATGATGATGATAGCTGTGCAGGCCAATAAAAGACATCTATTTCCAAACACCTTAGTTCCTTTTTTAAGTGGGCATTTCCTCCACAAAACCATAGCATAGATCCTGTCCAAAGTGCCTGTGTTTCATCCCTTCTTTTTTCCTCAACTTTGCAGGAGACAAATATCCAAAATGGGCTTTTATCCTCCTCCTTTGCACGACAGTCACAATGTCTTTCCTGTTCCTGATGTGTCTTGGCTGCTTGGTAAGGATGGGAAAAGCTGCTCTTTGCAGCGGGCAAAGAGCACAAAGAGCTACCCTTACAGAAGCATCAACAAATCCAGTTGAACCTTAGAGAGCTTCCAAGTGATGCTCGAAAGGGGTTGACTCACCATCTTGGGATGCAATGGACATAACACCAGGTAATCCTGGTTTGTGAATGACACATGTCCCAAATCAAATTGCTGATCAATCATTCAAATAGCCTTGTGAATTCTGTAGGGTGAGGAATCCCTACATCCCAAACAATCATATTTTTTGGAGTATAAGATGCACCAGAGTATAACACGTGGTTTAGTTTTTGGGGAGGAAAATATCTGCTTGGGGATAAAAAACAGCTTCTAAGGCACAGCTGAGAGGAATCAGCCATGAGAAAAGAAGGCAAAGCACGGGGAGATCGATTCACTCGGCTAGCAGCTAGTTAGGTCTGAAAAAAAGTTTCTAAAGAACAGCTGAGAGTTGGAGCAAAGCATGGAGATCGCTTCACTCCACTCGCTAACGCCTCATTAAAGCACAGTGGAGAGTCGAGGGAGCAGGCAAAGCTTCACTCGCTAGTGCATTGTTAGCACCTCCTTAGGGCTGAAAAAAAGCTTCGAAAAAGCTACATTTGGAGTATAAGACGCACTCAAATTTTCAGCCTCTTTTAGGGGGGGAAAAGGTGTGTCTTATACTCCGAAAAATACGGTATATTGTGATCCCTACAGCTATGAGTTTGTCTTCTTATAGAGGGCATGTATCAGTTTGGGAGAAGTTCTCTGAGTCAACCTTTGATCTTTTGGAGAACTGCTGTCAGTCTGGTTAACCACTGGGCTGACTTTATATAAAACATCTTCACATGTTCCAAAAGATCAAAAGATCAGGTGAGCTCTTGCCTAAAACCTTAAGACAGCCATTGTTAGTTAAAGTATGGAATACAATACTCAACTTGGAGAACCAACCTAATCTAATCCAGGACAATATAAGTGGATTTTAGGCAAGAGAACCCTATGGAACCTCTATGATTATATTTACATAATTACAGATGCTAAGGTTATGTTACTTGATTAACAGATGCAAGTTGTAGCTCCCCCAATTGACATCATCCCAGCTCAAGGGAGGGGATCCACCACAACTGCTTCATATTCTTCTGAAGTCAGAAGAGTTGCCACTAAAATGATGTCAATTCTGTGGGGTCTTTGGTGCTCTCTGAGCTTTGTTGTTTTCTCATAAACATTTCATCATGAAATGTTCAGAGATCACTAAGGTTCCCAAAGTTCCACCCTCAGCCATAAATATTCTCTTCTATATTCATCTCACTTCTGTTTTCCATTTGGTCTCATTCTCTCTTCTTCCCAAACTCCTGCAGGTTGCCCGTTGTGTGAAATCTGCCTCGTGTGTTCCTGAACCTGAGAATGTGTACAGAAGTCACGCTGTGCTCCAGAGTTTTCGGAATCTTAGTTGTGAAAGGAATCCACAGATGCCCAGAGACAATAACCAAGAGATGCTGTAAAATAATCACCAACAGATGTTTCAGACCTCCCAGGATTGATAGCAATTTACAACAGAATGGATTTCTTCCCAATCTATTTTTGACATATATGTATATATTGCCAAAACATTTTCCTTTCCCCCATCATCTCATACATGATGTGAATGGACTTAATTGCTGTTCTCCAGATTAATATACAGATGCTGTATTTCAGGGGTCTCCAAACTTGGTAACTTTAAGACAGGCTGAGGAACTCTGGAAGTTGAAGTCCCCAAGTCTTAAAGTTGCCAAGTTTGGAGACTCCTGCTCTATTTATTCTTCAGGTTGCATTCCTCTGAATGCCAGTGCAGCCTGTAGTTCATAAGTTAAATCAATGTTCCCTCAGATCAAGTTTCAGTTTTGATGATTTCATGGATATGTCTTTGTCATTTTCTTGGCCACAGAATGGAATAATTAGCTTCTGTCTCCTTTCTATTTTATTTTTCCTCTTTCCAAATTCCAGCATAGACTACAGCCGTAATATTTCATAGTCATCTCGCATCCAAGTACTGTACTAATCAAATTTCACTCTGCTTCACTGCTTGAAATCTCTGAAAATCACCTTGTTCAATATTAAAATATATGTATTGAGGGTCAGTTTTGTGTGGGGGTTAAGGCATCAGGCTAGAAACTGGGAGACTGTGAGTTCTAATTCCTCCTTGGGCATGAAGCCAGTAGCTGAACTTCTGAATCTCTTCTGAAAAACTTTGCCAAGAAAACTGCAGGAATTTGTCCTAGCAGTCTCTGAGAATAAGACATGATTGAATTAAAAAGGAGGGGAAAAAAATAATTGATTAGGAAAGGTTGGGGAAAACTGTACAAAGCAACTGCAAATCTTCGTATGATACTTCTTGATACAAAAAATGAATCAGTTTTTTGACTGAATAGACTTTAAGTGTGCACAAAGCAGAAAAAGATGAAATTTATCTGCTTCTTAAAAATAAGACTTGGACTCAACAAATCAACGCTTTTGAACTGCCTCTGGATGGCAGAAACAATGGCTCATTGTACAAGTAGTCCTCACTTAACAACTGGTCCAGAGGTGGCATTCAGCAGGTTCTGACCAGTTCTGGAGAACCGGTAGCGGAAATTTTGATTAGTTCAGAGAACTGGTAAATACCACCTCAGACTGGCCCCACCCCCATCTATTCTCTGCCTCCTGATCCCAGCTGATTAGGAGGAAATGGGGATTTTTCAGTAACCTTCCCCTGGAGTGGGGAGGGAATGGAGATTTTACAGTATCCTTCCCCTGCCATGCCCACCAAGCCATGCCTACCAAGCCATGCCACGCCCATCAAGCCACACCCACAGAACCGATAGTAAAAAAATTTGAATCCCACCACTGAACTGGTTGCAGTTACAATGGCCTCAGAAAGGATGATTTATGGCCCATAAAGCACTTCTGTTTTATGGATTTCTGTAAAACAATCTGTGTCCCCCCACTCCCCATGGAGTCACATGACCAGGTGGCTTTTCTGGCAGAAAACGATGAAAAATGCCCATTGGATATGCTCAATTTGTTTATCATCCACATGCTTCCCTTAATCACCGTATGATTCACTTCAGGACTGCCCTGTCTCGTTGTACAACCATCATAAAACAGTTGTAAAATTGACTATTAATCCATGGTTACCTATTTAATGACCACTTGATTTGCAACCAAGCTTTTGGGCCCAATTGTGATTGTTAAGTGAAGACTACCTCTATTCCTGCACCGAGACCCGTATCTTCAACCTTTTTCCTTCTTCCATTCAGTGGTGTCTGATTCTTTGAGACTGCTGACTCTGCAACAACATGATTGGGTTTTTTCTTACTTTTTCCCTTTTGCAACATATCCCAGAAGTAGTTCTGGTCATCAGCTGTGATCTGCCAACCTTGTATTTCCAGAGGTGTCAAGAATTACATGCTGGGTTAAGATTCTGGAAGCAGCTTTAGAAGTCTCCACATTGAGAGATAGATGGTAGTCTACTGCCTTGCTAGAATCATGCACTATGTTGATTTCATTTCCATCGAGGTGTTTCTAAAATAGAAACATGTTTCCTTACAACTACACACTGGCAAGTTTCCATTTTGTACTCCTCCACTGGAGGAAAAACAATGTATTGCATTTTATTTGTCTCCAAATAAATCACGGCATCCAGGTTGTTCTTAGGGAAATGACACATCTAAAATCTAGCACTGACCGTTTGGACCCTTAAGTATGTAACTTGTATAATTGTAAATAAATAGATATTTAAAAAATGCACAACTCTCTGGTCACTTCCTTCTCATGGCAAAATTAACGCCATCAAAAATAGCAATAGCACTTAGACTTACATTCCGCTTCACAGAGCTTTGCAGCCCTCTCTAAGCAGTTTACAGAGTCAGCATATTGCCACCAACAATCTGGGCCAGTGGTGGGTTCCTCCCGGTTCGGTCCGGTTCAGCCGAGCCGGTAGCGGTGACAATATGACGTCACCGAACCGGTTCTCCCCCCCCCTCTGCCCTCCCCCCCACCCACCCACGTTATTCTTACCTTTTATTTGGTCCCACCCCCAATCTATTGCTGCCTCCTGAGTCCCAGCTGATGACTAGAGGGAAAAAAACTGTTTAAACTCTTGCTGCGGGGCTTCAAAGGGCCGTCCTACAGCTGATCAGTGTTAAAAGCAAACAAATGAGTCGGGTCGTAAGTGCGAGGACTGGTCGTAACTGCGAGGACCTTCCAGAAATGACTCTAACCAGCTAGCCACGCCCACCTAGTCACATGACATCCAAGCCATACCCACAAAATAAGCCACGCCCACAAAACTGGTAGTAAAAAAATTTAGAACCCACCCCTGATCTGGGCCCTCATTTTATTAACCTCGGAAGGATGGAAGGCTGACTCAATGTTGAGCCGGTCAGGATCAAACTGCCAGCAGTCAGCAGAATTAGCCTACAATACTGCATTCTAACCACTGCGCCACCACAGCTCTTCCTATAATTGTAAATAAATAGGTATTAGAAAAACACATAACTCTCTGGTCACTTTCTTCTCATGGCAAAATTGACTTCATCAAAAATAGCAATAGCACTTAGACTTATATACCTCTTCACAGTGCTTTACAGCACTCTCTAAGCAGTTTACAGAGTCAGCATATTTCCCCCAACAATCTGGGTCCTCGTTTTACCAAACTCAGAAGGACGGAAGACTGAATCAACCTTGAGCCCATCAGGATTGAACTCTAGACTGTGGGCAGAGCTTGCCTGCAATGCAATTGCACCACCAGGCTCCTTGAATATGTTTTTATTGCAGGGATGGGAAACCTAAGGCCCCAGTACTATAGTGGGGTCACACCAGTGGTGGGTTTCTATCGGTTCACCCTGATTCGGGCGAACCAGTAGCAGTGGTGGCTGGAGGCTCTGCCCACCCACCCAATTGTCATCAAAATTGCTCTGCGCATGTGCAGAAGCGCCACATGTTCGCAAAGCGAGTGCACCCACGCGCTACCGATAGTGAACCACTAGCGCCAGGATTTTTTTATTATTATTAAAAAGTTTTATCAAATATTACAACAATTTTTCCCCATTCCTCCTCCCCCCCTTCCCTCCTCCACCCACCCCCCATTCCCCCTCTCCCTCCAACCCCCCTCCCCCCCTTCCCTCCTCCACCCACCCCCCATTCCCCCTCTCCCTCCAACCCCCCTCCCCCCACCCCGGACTTCTCAGAGCAAATACAGGGTATAACATTTAACAATCATAAACTAAAATATGCTAACTTTCTGTAGGCTCTTAATTCCCTCTTGCTCTTTAACTCCCCTTTCAACTAACAAAACATAATTCAAAAAGAAAAAGTTGGTTTCATTCATAAGCTATTTGAAGCTTTTTAGTCCGATATTTGTTTTGAATATAGTCAATCCACCTTCTCCATTCCGATATAGATCTTTCGTTTGAATGGTCCTTCAAATACGCTGAAATTTTGGCCATCTCTGCTAAGTTCCCTACTTTCAGTGTCCATTCTTCAATAGTAGGCAAGTCTTCCTTCTTCCAATACTGCGCCACCAAAAGTCTGGCTGCTGTTATTAAATTTAAAATCAACTTAGTCTCTATAACAGTACTAGCTGTAATTATACGTAACAAAAAGAACTGTGGAGTAAATTTTAACTTTTTTTTGAGAATATTTTGGATAATCTACCATATTTTTATCCAAAATGCCTTAATTTTTTTACATGTCCAACATATATGATAATACGTGGCATCATCACATTCACATCTCCAACACTTAGGTTGCACGCTTGGATGCATACAGGCTAGCTTTTTAGGATCTAGATGCCATCTATAAAACATTTTATAAAAATTCTCTCTTAAGTTTTGGGCTTGCGTAAACTTCACATTTCTAACCCATATTTTTTCCCACGTTTCCATCATTATTGGTTCTTCAATATTTTGTGCCCACTTTATCATACAGTCCTTAACTAACTCCGTTTCTGAATCTATTTCTACCAATGCATTATACAACCTTTTTATATGCATTTGACTTTGATCTCTAATCTGTTTTACCAAGTTCTCCTCATTTTGCAAAATACCAATTTTCGGATATTCTCTCCATCTAGCTTGCAACTGTACATATTGAAACCATGTTTGAATTATCCTTTTTTTTCTTAGTTGATTCAAAGATTTTAATTGTAGTATACCTCTTTTCTTGTTAAGAAGCTCTTTGTATGTAATCACATCTTGTTTTTGCTCTACACCAGTGGTTCTCAACCTTCCTAATGCCGCGACCCTTTAATACAGTTCCTCATGTTGTGGTGACCCCCAACCAGGGGTGGGTTCTAAATTTTTTTACTACTGGTTCTGTGGGCGTGGCTTATTTTGTGGGCGTGGCTTGGATGTCATGTGACTGGGTGGGCATGGCTAGCCGGTCATGTGATCGGGTGGCCATGGCTATGTGTATAGGGACTACTCAGAGGGCTGAAAAAAGTCATTTCTGACAGTTCCTCACACTTTTGACTGGTCCTCACACTTATGACCATCCTCACATTTATGCCCATGCAGCATTCTTAACAACCATATTACTCATTTCACAACTGCTTCTTTTCACCATGGTGATAAGATA